TGGGCCTCTTGGGAGCCTCTTGGGGCCGCTTGGGGGCTTCCTGGGGGCATCTTGGGGCCTCTTGGGGGCATCTGGGGGCGGAGAGCTTGATTGTTCAGTTCGCGTTCTCTCTCTTGGGCCCCTCTTGGGGCCTTTTTGGGCCCCCCTTGCGCCGTCTTGGGCGGCTCTACGGCCGTCTCGGAGCTCTCTTGGGCCTTCTTGGGGCCCTCTCGAGGGCCTCTTGGGCCGTCTTGGAGCTTTTTTGGGAGCCTCTTGGGCGGTGCTTTCGCGACGGAAACACGAAACGGCGAGAACGCAAAACCATAAATATATAATAATATATATATATTATATATATATTATATATACAATATATAATATAAAATATATAAATATCCTTTTGCCCACTCGGTCGCTCTTGGGCGGCATCGAAGGCCCTCTGGGGCGTCTTGGGGGCCTCCGGGGCAGTTTCAAACGCATCGTGCGTCGCCGGAGACCCCTGGACGGCGTCTTGGGGGTGTCTCGAGACCGCCTGGGGCCGCCGGGGTTGCTGTCTGAGGGCTCCCCAGGGCGATTTCAAGCCTCCCAGAGACGGGCCTGGGCCCCGGTCCCTACATTTGTGGTCCAGGTTCCGGCCCTCGACCCCCGAGCCCGGTGCGCTGTTGTAGGCCACAAGCCCTTGTAAATGACAGGAGATTCGCTTCCCCGAAGCCATAAGCCGTTGCAACTTATACAATGTTCGCGCCCCCGACGCCATGCACCTTTCGAGAATTAGACAGTGTTCGCGTCCCTGTGGACATAAACCCTCTCAAATTACACCGCAATCTCGCTTTCGAGGCTACGATCCCTCGTGCATTACCGCAGATTTTCGTCTTCGAGGCCATGATCTGTAGAAAATTACACGGTATTCGCGCCGCAGGAGCCCGGACTGCCCCAAGACGGCTCAAGAAGCCTCCAGAAGAGCCCCAAGACGGCCCCAGAGGGCACTAGGACAGCTCAGGAGGCACCCAAGACGGCCCAATAACTCCTAAAGATGGCACCCAGAGAGGTCCAAAGCGGGACAACGAACCAACGATTTGAGCTTTCAGCCCCGCGAGGGCGAACGAGGGCTCCAAGGGGCTGCCAAGCCGACCCAACAAGCTTCCAAGAGGCATCCTAAGAAGGAAGCCGAAGCCCCGCGAGGTTACCCAGCGTAGCCTCAAGCAGCCCCGAATCGATGCTCCAATACATGGCACGAATGGGAGCTCGAGAATAACAATACAGACTTCAACAATACGTTCTGAACCTGAGTCTGCCGCTTACCAATCGCCCTCGCAGGAGGTTCCAACATTGTTCTGCAACGGCGCAAAGGAATTCCAGCATAGCTCTGACATAGCCCATTCTGACAGAGAGGGGGCTGGCGGCAGGGGGCGAAGCCCTGACGGATGAAAACGATTCACAAATACCGACAGGTAATCAAACCAGAATCGAAACGTCGTCCCCAGACTACCTGATCTCACCATTTTGGGATCTCCCTCCTGCAGGGACAGGCCCGGCTCGACCCCTTCCTGTGCCACTCTTCAGGCTGGATCGGTCTGCAAACGGCCCCCGGGCCCGCAAGCGGGCGAGAGAGCGCTCGGCTCCTCGCAAGCGGGCGGGGGCTTCTCGCCCGCTTGCGGGGGACGGCCCCGGGGCCCGCAAGCGGGCGAGGAGCGCTCCCCGTGCACGTCTCGGCTTCGAGCGTGTCCATGTGCCCGATTGCCCCAGGCTTGCTCCTCGGAGGTCCCCGCCGAGAAAAAAGGTGCACACGTCCGAGCGGTGCCGAGAGGCGGCGGCGCAGGAGAGCCCAGAATCGAATCGATGAGTCGGATCGGCGGTCGAAATGAATCGGATCTGCGGGAATCGGCAGCCGATTCGGGAAAAGTCGAATCAACGGACATCAAAAGGCTAGTAGGCTCCCTAAAAAAAATCGGAGTCAGAATCGGAATCCCCAGTCGAATCGAATCGAAATCGGAGGCCATCGAAGTCGAATCAGATCGAATCGGAGGAATCGAATCCAACCCATCATCATCATCATCAACAACAACATCATCATCGTAAGCATCAGCATCATCATTAACATCATCGTCATCATCATGATCAGCGTCAGACTCAGCAGCATCAGCATCAGCATTAGCATCAGCATCATCATCATCATCATCACCATCATCATCATCAACAACAACATCATCATCGTCATCACCAGCATCGTCATCATCGTCAGCATCATCATCATCAGCATCAGCAGCATCGTCATCAGCATCAGCATCATCATCAGAAGCATCAGCATCAGCATCATCAGCAGCATCAGCAGCATCATCATCAACATCCTCAACATCATCAGCATCAGCATCAGCATCAGCATCAGCATCAGCATCATCAGCACAAGCAGCATCATCACAATAAGCATAAGCACCAGCATTATCATCAGCCTCAGCAGCATCATTATCATCATCAGCAGCACCAGCATCATCAACAGCAGCATCAGCATCGGCATCATCCTCAGCATCAGCATCATCATCAGCATCATCGTCATCATCAGCTTCATCAGCAGCATCACCAGCATCAGCATCGGCATCAGAATCATCGTCATCAGCAGCATCAGCACGAGCATCAGTATCATGACCAGCATCATCAGGATCAGCGTCATCATCATCAACATATTCATCAGCATCATCAGCATCATCAGCATCATGAGCATCATCAGCATCAGCACATCATCATCAGCATCAGCATCATCAGCATCATCGTCATCAGCATCAGCAATATCATCAGAAGCGTCAGCATCAGCATCAGCAGCGTCAGCAGCACCAGCAACATCATAATCAGCATCAGCATCAGCAACGTCATCATCAGCAGCATCAGCATTAGCATCATCAGCATCATAATCAGCATCAACAGCATCAGCATCATCAGCATCGTCATCTTCTGCATCATCGGCATCAGCATCAGCAATATCATCAGCAGCATCAGCATGATCATCAGCATCATCAGCATCAGCGTCAGCACATCATCATCAGCAGCAGCATCATTATCATCAATAGCATCAGCACCATCACCAGCATCATCATCATCAGCATCATCATCAGCATCATAATCAACATCATCATCATCAGCAGCATCATAAGCATCAGCAGCGACATCATCAGTACCAACATCATCATCAGCATCATCAGCAGCAACATCAGCATCGGCATCGGCATCAGCACCACTATCATCATCAACAGCAGCATCATCATCATCAGCAGCATCATCATTAGCAGCATCATCATCATCATCATCATCATCATCACCGTCCATCATCGGCATCATCAGCAGCATTAGCAGCATCAGCATCAGTATCATCATCAGCATCCTCATCATCATCAGCAGCATCATCAGCATCAGTATCAGCATCCTCGTCATCATCATCATCATCATCATCATCATCAGCATCAGCATCAGCATCATCAGCATGATCATCAGCAACAACCTCATCAGCATCATCATCATCAGCACCGTCATCATCAGCATCAGCATCAGCATCATCAGCATCAGCATGCTCATCATCAGCAGCAACAGCATCAGCACCAGCATCATCAGCAGCATCACCAGCACCACCAACATCATCATCATCATCATCATGATCAGCAGCAGCACCAGCATCATCAGCAGCATCAGCATCAGCATTCTCGTCATCAGCAGCATCAGCATCAGCGTCAGCAGCGTCAGCATCATCACCAGCATCATCATCATCGTCATCATCAGAACCTTCAGCAGCAACAGCAGCATCAGCATACGCATCATCATCATCATGAGCAGCATCAGCATCAGCATCGGCATAATCGGCGCCAGCATCATCATCATCAGCATCAGCCTCAGCCTCATCAGCATCATGAGCGTCATCAGCAACAGCATCAGCAGCATTAGCATCATCATCAGCAGCATCAGCATCAGCAACATCATAAGCATCGTCTCATCAGCATCAGCATCATCAGCATCATCAGCAACAGCAGCACCAGCATGAGCATCATCATCAGCAGCATCATCACCATCATCAACATCATCAACATCAGCAGCATCATCACCAGCATCAGCATCAGCATCATAATCATCATCAGCATCATCATCATCAGCATCATCAGCATCAGCACCAGCATCAGCAGCATCAGTATCATCAGTATCATCATCATCATCATCATCATCATCAGCATTAGGATCGTCACATGCAGCATCATCAGCATCAGCAGCATGAGCGTCAGCATCAGCATCATCATCATCCTCGTCATCATCACCAGCATCAGCAACATCATCAGCATCAGCATCATCAACCTCATCATCATCAGCATAATCAGCACCAGCATCAGCATCAGCATCATCAGCATCAGCATCAGCATCAGCATCATCATCATCTGCAGCATCATGATCAGCAGCATCATCATAAGAATCAGCATCAGCATCGTCATCATCAGCATTATCATCATCGTCAGCATCAGCATTTGCATCATCAGCAGCAGCATCAGCATCAGCATCATGATCATCAGCAGCATCAGCATCAACATCACCATCCTCAGCAGCATCACCAGCAGCACCGTCATCATCATCAGCATCATCAATATTTATCAGCATCAGCATCAGCACCAGCATTAGCATCAGCATCATCATCATCAGCAGCATCATCATCATCAGCATCATCATCACCATCATCGTCAACATCAGCATCATCATCACCAGCATCATCATCATCAGCAGCATCAGCATCAGCATCATGATCACCAACAGCAGCAGCATCAGCATACGCATCATCATCAGCAGCATCAGCATCATCATTCTCAACATCGTCATCGTCATCATCATCATCATCAGCATCATCATCATCATCATCATCATCATCATCATCATCATCATCATCATCATCATCCTCGTCATCATCAGCAGCATCAGCATCAGCATCAGCAGCATCATCGTCATCATCAGCATCGTCATCATCATCCGAGCGATGCCGAGAGTGGGCGGCGAGGCGCCTGCCCGGGCGCGGACAGCTTGCCGGCGGTGTCGCCGCCGGCCGGCCTGCGGGGCGAGGCCTGGCCGCCGCGGGGCGCGGGGGCGCGCGGCGCGGGCCGTCGCCCGCCCAGGCTACGTGTGCTCCTCCCGCTCCTCCCCTCTCCCTGATGTTCCTCCTTCCTGCCTCTTCCTCCTTCTCCTCCTCCTCCTCCTCCTCCTCCTTCTTCTCCTCCCTCTCCCTCTCGAGGTACTGGCGCTCCTCCTCCTCCTCCTCCCCCTCGCCCTCCTCCTCCTTCTCATCCTCCTCCAGCCTCCTCCCACTCCCGCGCCTCCTCCCCCTCCCCCGCCTCCTCCCCAGTTGCACAATCTGAATACTGCTCTCCTCTTTCTTCTGATGACGTCCGGAAGATGTTTGGCCCCCCTCCGCGTACTGTTATTTCCCACACAGGATTTCTGGGAGTTGGGTTTTCGCTTGGGCTGTCTTTCAAAATGTTGTTCCCCCTGAAGCGCTGGCCTCCTTTTTGGGATTCCGCTCGTTCCGAATCCTGCTCCCGCTGCAGCCAAAACAATGAACAAAAAAAATTGTCACCCGCGTCCCCCCTCGCTTCCTCCCTCCCTTTGTTTCGTTGCGTTGGGCCGCCTTTGGCTCAGAGCCTGGCCTGCCGCTTCTGGAGAGGGTGCCCGTGACGCACGGGGCGCGCGTCGCCACCAAAGGCAAGAGGAGCGCCTCGATGCCTGCTGCCGCCACCACCCTCCCTTTGTCAGAAGCTTTCGCTGGTTCGGGGTTCCAAGTTTTCGGACGTTCGAGGAGACGCTCCAGCTGAGAGTGCCGATGGCGGCGGCCTTCGCGACCTTCAGGAGGAGCGAGAAGGCGGCGGTGGTTCAGGCGGGGATGCGCGCAGGCAGGGCTTCTGCGAAGGCGGCGGCGACTTTGAGGGAAGCGTCCCTCAAGAACCCGCAGGCCAACCAATCTCCAGAGGCCAAGATAGGACCCGCGTGCGTGCAAATATTCATGGTGGTGTGCGCGGAGATTCAGAAGGCGGGCGACAGCGACGGGCAGAGGAACCAATGAGCTTGGGAGGCCTAGAAAGAGAAGCTCGATGCGATCACGGACGTGAGAGACATGGCGATGTTGGTGCCTGGTTTCAGGATAAGCATGGCGTACACATAGGGGAGGGCAACCATTGCGGTGTCTTTTACGGACGGGGCGATGATGAGAGCACTGCAAGACAGCCTGACACAGCTCGGAGCCGACCACTAAACAGGCATGGCGCCGAGAAGCAACATGGAACAGATGCTACAACTGGCGATGGACCAATTCGACGAAGCGCAATGGCGTGTAACCGTCCAATGCCTGCTCGAGATCGGCATCGCTACGCTCACAATCCGCTACCTCCTACCTCGTCCGGACGCGGCATGTGGTCAGGACCCCTCAGAGGAGGGTCGTTCGATGCGGTCAGGATCCTTCTCGAGAAGTTCGGTCGTCGCTCTCGATTCTGCTTGGACGCGGGAGAAACAGAAGTCAGGATCCCTCTAGAGAGGGTAGTTCGCCTGAAGGGGAAACAATCAAGATACCTTGGAGGGCGAATCAACTACAATTCTGAATCAACATAGATTTCAGAACGAACTTCGGCTGATGGAGAATAAACAAACACCTTCGAACAGCGGAGTATTCCGTGATGGGAGTGATGTGGATCGTGTGCCTCCTATATTCGCTGGGAGTGCTGGGGATCGTTTGCCTTCGGGATGCGCTGGGGGTGCAGCGGATCGCGTTTCTCCAGTTGGCGCTGGAAGTGCAGTGGCTCGTTTGCCTTCTGATGGCGCTGGGAGTGCAGTGGATCGGGTGACTCCGGTGGGCGCTGGGAGTGCAGTGGATCGATTGCCTTATGATGGCGCTGGGAGTGCAGCGGAACGGGTTCCTCCAGCTGGCGCTGGGAGTGCAACGGATCAGGTTCCTCCAATTGTCGCTGGGAGTGCGGTGGATCGTCGGCCTCCTGGACCAGCTGGGAGTGCAGTGGATCGTCTCCTGCGTGAGGCTCCGAGGGGGCGGGGACGTGAGAGCCGCGAGCTGGAGGAAGCTCCCCGCTGTGCTGCCGCTGTCCCCCCCATCCTGCCGTCCGTCACCCTCCTCGTCCTCGTCCGTCGTCAGCACCTCCTCCTCCTCCTCCTCCTCCTCCTCCTCCTCCTCCTCCTCCTCCTCCTCCTCCTCCTCCACGCCTCAATTTCAGCAAGCTGGTGAGCTGGGCGACTCACGGGTGTCCTCGACAGGCCCGAGGGGATCGCATGGCGCTCGAGTGTCCCAATGTGTGAGAGAGCGTGACCCACCGCCGCTTTACTGTGCTGTGGGAAATTCCCCCCCCCTCCGCCCCCCCGCCTCTCCCCCCCCCCTGCTGGACCCCCCCCCTGCCAGCAACCCCCCCCCCTCCGGAAAACCGGGGGGGGGTCACTAGGTTCGAACACCTCCCCCCCCCTCAGGAAAACCGGGGGGGGGGTCACTACCGGATCGAACCCCTCCCCCCTTTCCAGAAAACCGGGAGGCCAACCCTCCAAAAAACAGGGGGGGCCACTACCGGTTCCAACCGCCCCCCCCCCCTAAAAACCGAAGGGGGTCACTACCGGCTCGACCCCCCCCCCCACTCACCGCCGGCGGCAAACGACTCCCGGGTCCCCACCACCGTGCGCACCATATCCCCCACTGCTGTCCCCAGCACTACTGTCCTCACCACCACTGTCTCCGTCCCCACTGTCCCCACCAGTGCCCCCACCAGTGCCCCCACCACTGTCGCACTGTCTCCACTGTCCCCACCACTGTTCCCACCACGGTCAAACTGTCCCCACGGTCCCGACCACTGTCCCACTATCCCCATTGTCCCCAATGTCCCACTGACCCCGCCGATGTCCCACTGAGCTGTCCCACTGTTCACACCACTCTCCCCAATGTCCCCACCACTGTCCCCACTGTACCTCTCTCCCATTGTCCCACCACCGTCCTCGCCACCGCCCTCACCAGTGTCCCCACCACCACTGTCCCCAGCACTGTTCCACTGTCCCCACTACATTCCAGCTGTCCCCACACCACTGTCCCCACCTTCACCGTCCCCACCTTTGTCCCACAGTCCCCACCAGTCCCACTGTCCCCACTGTTCCCACCCTTGGTCTCGCTGTACCCACCAGTGCCCCCCCCCCAGTGTCTCACTGTCCCCACTCCCCACCATTGTCCTACCACTGTCCCACTTTCCCCACTTTCCCCACCACTGTCCCACTGTCCGCACTGTTCCCTCCACTGTCCCACTGTCCCCACTGTCCCCGCTGCTGTCCCACTGTGCTGTTCCACTGTCCCCACTGTCCCCACCACTCTCCCACTCTCCCCAGTGTCCCCACCAGTGCCCCCACCACTGTCGCACTGTCCCCACTGCCCCCACCACTGTTCCCACCCAGGTCCCACTCTCCCCACTTCCACTCGGTCCCAACCACTGCCCCACTGTCCCTACTGTCCCCAATGTCCCACCGTCCCCGCCGCTGTCCCACTCTGCTGTCCCACTGTTCACACCACTCTCCCCAATGTCCCCACCACTGTCCCCACTGTACCTCTCTCCCATTGTCCTACCACCGTCCTCGCCTCCGCCCTCACCACTGTCCCCACCACCACTGTCACCACCACTGTCACCACCACTGTCCCACTGTCCCCACCACCCTCCCACTGCCCCCACACCACTGTCCCCACCTTCACCGTCCGCACCACTGTCCCACAGTCCCCACCACTGTCCCACTGTCCCCACTGTTCCCACCACTGTCCCCGCTGTTCCGCACCAGTACCCCCACCAGTGTCTCATTGTCCCAACTCTCCCCACCCCTGTCCCACCACGGTCCCACTCTCCTCACTTTCCCCACGTCCCCCACCACTGTCCCACTGTCCCCACTGTTTCCGCCACTGTCCCACTGTCCCCACTGTCCCCGCCGCTGTCCCACTCTGCTGTCCCACTGTCCCCACTGTCCCCACCACTGTCCCACTGTCCCCACTGTCCCCACCACTCTCTCCACTGTCGCACTGTCCCACCACCGTCCTCGCCACCGCCTTGACCACTGTCCTCACCACTACCGTGCCCACCACTGTCCCCATGTCCCCACCACTGTCCCGCTGTCCCCTCGCCACTCTCCCCACCACCTCTGTCCCCACCACACCACCGTACGCACCATTGTCCCTCTGTCCCCATACCACTGTCCCCACCACCACTGTTCCCACCACTGTCCCAGTATCCCCACCACTGTCCAACTGTCCTGGGGGGAATTGTTTGCTGGCGGCGAAGGGGGGGGGTTCGAATCGGTAGTGACCCCCCCCCGGTTTTCGAGGGGGGGGGGGTCGAACCGGTAGTGACCCCCCCCTTTTCATGATGGACTGGGGGGGGAGGGGTTCGAACCGGTAGTGACCCCCCCCCTGGTTTTCAAGGGAAAGACGGGTTGGGAACCCCCGGTGACCCTTCCTGGTTATCCGTCAGCAGTGGTAGAACACGTTCCTTCCAATGTGTGCTTCGTCGTCCGTGCTCGATGGTTGTGGTTGAGCGAAGACAACTCGGGGCTCCTGCCGTGGGACCATCCGATCGCAGAGTCATCTTGCACCGACAATGATTGAAACATACTCGAACAATCGTCCCAGCACTATTTTGTTCTATATGTTTCTTGGATACCTCCCTTGTAGAGGGACGTGCCGGACTTAAAACTACCTCCTTGGGCAGCCGAACCATCCAGGACGGGCCTGGCAGGGGTAATCACGACCCTGTCTGGGGTCCCCTCCAGATGTGGTCTATCGAGAGGCCTCCTAACCTACGTCCGAATTGCAGGGCTGGACCTAAACGTTGTGTTTCGTTTTGTTATCGTTTTGTTGCTCGTTTTGCTCTACCTGATGTCCTGTGCCTCCCTCCTAAAACGAAGAACAAACCACAGCCGACGTCCAGCAACATAGCGTTTAGGTCCAGCCCTGCCGAGTCGCCGTCGACCTCAACCTTCCGCACCTTCCGGGCGGCAGGTGCCGCGCAGCGGCCGCCCCCAGCGCGGCCGCAGAGTCGGCCGCCATCGAGGCCGCATCGGCGGTCTCGGCGGTCGCCGAGGCCGCGCCGCGGCGGCAGCTGCTGAGAAAAAGGTTGGGAAGGTGGAGGTCGAGGGAGATGGGGTCGGAGGATCGCGCCGAATCGCAGATGCATCAGCGATGCATCTGTGGTGCATCTGCGACGTCGGCGATGCATCGGCGACGTCGGCGCGGACAAAGTCGGACTCCACATCGAGCCGCCTTGCCGATGCGTCAGCGATGCAGCACGATCCATCGACTCATAATTCAAATCCTACTTGGGTGACCTGGAAGCTAAGTAGGAAACCCTGGAACCGCGAACTGATCGCTGCTGCATCGCGCGAACAGGGCGTTAGCAAGTGAAGGGGCAGACTGAGAACCAAGAACGCTGGGGCACGGCGCAGTCGACAAGCAACTCTGGCAATGATCCCTGGCTGCCACACGGACATCCATACCTCCTCGTCCTTCTCCTCTCGATGATCCTCAGAAAGCGTGTTGGCGCCAACGTGTGTTTGTCCCCCGAGGCCTTCAATACAACACAGGCGGCGTGATGAGGGCCGAAACAGCTTGCGTGCTATCGGTGGCGCTGAACGGGGTAAAGACACACCCGTTTGGCAAACACACGTCCTGAGGATTATCGACCTCCCCGAAGACGACGGCAACGAAGACAACGACAACGACAACGACGACGACGACGTCGCCGCCGACGGCCACAACGACGACGTCGCCGACGACGACGACGAGAACGGCCACGACGACGACGACGACGACGACGACGACGACGACGACGACGACAACGGCCACGACGAGAGCCAACTGTCCGTTCTGGCCCAGGCCGCGACGCGCGGAAGGGGGAGCACCGCCGCACCCCGACCCCTCTCCACCGGGGGAGGGTAGCTCCTCGCCCCGGGCCCGTCCTTGCTGGCCCACAGGGCCTGGAAGCGAGCCCCGGAAGCCCTCCTCCTCCTCCTCCTCCTCCTCCTCCTCTTCCTCCTCCTGGCCTCCCCCTCCTCCCCCTCCTCCTCCCCCTCCTCCCCCTCCTCCCCCTCCTCCTCCTCCTCCTCCTCCTCCTCCTCCTCCTCCTCCTCCTCCTCCCTCCTCCTCCTCCTCCTCCTCCTCCTCCTCCTCCTCCTCCTCCTCCTCGTCCTCCTCCTGGCCCCACAAGCGAGCCCCAGAGGCCCGACACGAGGGAGGCGCCGAGATCAGAGGCCTGCTGGGAGCGACGCGGGGGGGTGCTCAATTAGAAGGCCTGGCGGGGTTATCTAACCCCCCTGAGCAACTTTCGGGGATGGACAGACCCCCCTTTAGTAGAACGTGGTTTAGTGAAAACGACCTGAGGCCCAAACCTGGCGGGCGCAAGCCTGGAAAATAACGGCCACGGCGCCCTCTCGAGAACCGAGAACGGACAATTCACTAATCGACGTGTCACTGTTGGGGGTTCTGTCCACCCCCGAAACTTGAAGCCTCTGTCGCCCACCTCTGAGCTAGCGACGAGGCCAGATGACACCCACTTTGGCATCCACGGATGCCCCCTCCTAGCTATCCCCGCAGCAACCCGAGCCCCGCGCCGACCCTGGCAGAAGCCGGCATCGAGGAGAACGCCCAGATCGGAGATCCGGGACCCTGCTCTGTTCATATTACTCGGGGCTCCGCTGCACCCTCGAACTCAACCTCAGAGGCCGCGCAGAGGTCGCCGTCACCGCGGCCGCAGAGGCGGCCGCACCGAGGCCGCAGCGGCGGTCTCGGCGGTCGCCGCGGCCGCGCCGCGGCAGCAAATGCTGAGCGGAAGGTTCGGAAGGTGGAGGTCGACGGCACCTGGTCAGGCCGCCACCCGCCGCCCCGCGCAGCCCTGGCCGCCCCCGAGGCCTGGCGCCGCGCGGAGAAGGTCTTGGCGGCGGACGTCGCGCTCGGCGGCGACGCCGACGCCTTCCCAGGGCCAGGGCCTCCTCCACGTCAACCTCCTCGTGCTCTCCCTCCTGCTCCTCCTCCTCCTGCTCCCCCTCCCCCTCCTCCTCTCCTCCTCCTCCTCCTCCTCCTCCTCCTCCTCCTCCTCCTCCTCCTCCTCCTCCCCCTCCTCCATTCTTCCCACTTATAGATAACCCTCCCAGTCGCACTCTGAGGGCAGTTTTTAGTGCGGGCCGGGCGTTTCGCCTGAGTCCTCACCATGTATGACTCTGAAGCTGAAAAAAAGGACAACAGCTCCGCAGATGGAGGGCGAGTGGACTTCACAATGTGGCTCTCGCCTCAGCGCCGCGCACATTCGATTTCAACATTTGCAAGAGTTTCACGGATTGAGGGCGGCGCCTTTTCAAAATGTGGCTCTCGCCTTAGCGCCGCGCACATTCGTTCCAAACATTGTCAAGAGTTCTACGGATTGAGGGCGGTTCCTTTTCTAAATGTGGCTCTCGCCTTAGCGCCGCACACACTCGGTTTAAACAATTGCAAGAGTTTCAAGGAATCCAGTGATCAGCATGCCAGAAATGGTGTGGGAAAGATTCAGGATTATGCGGGTTCAACCATTATGTTGACTCGCGGTGTTGAAATCAAACAATGGCGCTCAAACACGATTCCGGATCGTCAATACGCAGCAGTCAGGTTGATACGTGGCGTTGAAATTCCTACAACCATGTTTTGGCATGCTTCAGGATCTTCACCCAGTTATCTTCCAACGGACCAGTTCCTACGATGGAAATGCACCGTTGTGGGGGCCTATGGAGAGTGAGCTTGGAGGGCGGGTTAACTGCAACATCGTTGATGACGCTTGGTTTTACACTGGTCCTCCTGCTCCTCCTCCTCCTCCTCCTCCTCCCCCTCCTCCTCGTCCTCCTCCTCTTTCTCCTCCTCCTCCTCCTCCTCCTCCTCCTCCGCCTAGTACACATTCCTCCTCCTCCTCCTCCTCCTCCTCCTCCTCCTCCTCCTCCTCCTCCTCCTCCTCCTCCTCCTCCTCCTCCCCTCCCCACTCCTCCTACCCCTCGGGCGGGCCAGCCCCGCCCGTGGCGAAGCGCCGCGGCCGTCGCGGACGGAGGCGCCCGCAACGCAAGGAGAAGGAACCGAAGGACGACGTCAAAGGGGGGCGCGTTCCCCTTTTCGGACCTCCTCCTCCTCCTCATCATCGTCATCGTTTTCGTCATCGTCATCGTCATCGTCATCGTCATCGTCATCGTCATCGTCATCGTCATCGTCATCATCATCATCATCATCATCATCATCATCATCATCAGCAGCAGCAGCAGCAGCAGCAGCAGCATCATCATCATCATCATCATCATCATCATCATCATCATCATCATCATCCTATTCCTCCGCCCGTTCCTCCTGCTTTTCCTCCTCCTCATCCGCCTCCTCCTTCCCCTCCTCCTCCTCCTCCTCCACCTCCTTCTTCTCCTCCTCCTCCTCTTCCTCCTCCCTCTTCCTCCTCCCCCTCGTTTCCTGGGCGGTGTGCCCAATCGGGTCCCCCATCGGCGATGACCCCCCCTCGAGCCTATTCTCCCCTGATGTTTGGCGGCGAGCGCGGGGGACAAGTGAGACGGAGCGGGCTTCCGAGACGTTTCCTAAACCTTCCCCTGAGTTCTGAGAAGTCCCACCGCCTTCTGAGAAGGCCTTCTCCTTCTTACTTCCCCCCCTTGCTCGCCGCCGACTTGAGCGCATCCCCCGCCCCTGATGTGGCCCCCGAGGCGGGGAAGAAGGCAGCTCTGCCCCTGGCGAGGTGCCGCGGCCGCCGAGCTCCCCAAGTCGGCCCTCCTCGGGGGCCACCAATAGTGGATCTGTGACGAAAGGATCCCCCAGACGCTCCAACCTCCTCCTCCTCCTCCTCAGTCTCCTCTCTCCTCCTCTCTCCTCCTCTCTCCTCCTCTCTCCTCCTCTCTCCTCCTCCTCCTCCTTCTCCTCCTCCTCCTCCTCCTCATCCTCCTCCTCCTCCTCCTCCCAGGTCGGGGATCGACCGACCAGGCTAAAGCCAGACCTGAGCCAGTCGGGCGTTGAAACATCCTGCGAGATCCTGCAAGAGCCTGCAGGAGCCTGCACCTAAGCCCGGGTCGGTCCAGCCCTGGCCCTGCAGGATCCTACAAGATCTGGCGCTCTGACTGACCCCTGTTTGCATCGACCTCCGTCGCTTGAGCCCCGACCTCGGGGGCCGTTTCGGAGCCCGGGGCCATCAAACATATATATATATATATGTATATATATGTATATATATATATATATATATCCGAGAGAGCGCGTTTCACGGGCGCTCGCCTTGGGAACATTCGGCGGCGCGTTTCAAACCAGGAGGTGCCCCCCCCCCCTTCCAACACTCGGCGACGTCGATCAAAACCAAGGGAACTCCCCTCCCCCCCAACCACCACCCCTCCCGAACTCCCCGCCCCCCCCTCCCAGGGGGGGGGGTTCAACCCCCCCCGGCGCCGGCGCCGGCGCCGGCGCTGGCGGCCGCCAACAGCGCCCATGGCAGGGACGCAGCGACGATGACAAGAGGCAGCTCAGGGCTCCCCCCCTTGGCGCCAAGGAGGGGGGGGTCCAACCCCCACCCCTTCGCGCTGGCCCCGGCGCTGGCGCCGGCGACGGCGGGGACGACCACTACCACCACTACCACCACCACTACCACCACCACCGCCTCAACCCACCACCACCACCACCAACAGCACCAATCAACCACCACCACCACCACAGCCACCACCACGACCACCACCACAACTCACCACCACCACCACCACAAAAACCCACCACCACTATCACCACCATTACAATCTACCACACCACCACCACCACCGCCACAACCACTACCAGCAGCACAACCCACCGCCACCACCACAAACCACCACACCACCACGACCACATCCGCCACCACCACCACCACCACGACAACCAACGTCCACAAACCACCGCCACCACCACAACCCACCACCACCACCACCACCACAAACCACCTCACACCACCACAACCACAACCACCACAACTCACCATCACCACCAACATCACCACAAAAACCCACCACCACTACCACCACCACCACAATCTACCACACCACCACGACCACCACCGCCACAACCACCACCACTAGTAGCAGCACAACCCACCACCACCACTAGTAGCACACCACCACCACCGCTGCCACCACCACCACCAGCACCACCTCCACAAACCACCGCCACAACCACAACCCACCAACACCACCACCACCACCAACACCACCTCCACAAACCACCGCCACAACCACAACCCACCACCACCACCACCACCACAAACCACCACCACACCACCGCCACAACCACCACCATCACAACAAACCACCACACCACCACCACCACAACCACCACCACCGCTACGACCTCCACCACAACCCACCACCACCACCAAGGTCGTCCCCGTCGACGCTCCCCGCCACCGCCGCCCGCCGCTGCAGGCGCCGGCCGGCGCCGGGCCAGAAATGGAAATCGTCGTGCCCGCCGCCGTCGCCAGCCGCCGCCGACGCAAGCGCCAGCCCGAGGAGAGGGGAAGCAAAGGGGGGGCGGGTTGAATCCCCCCCCCTCCATCCAGGGGAGGTGGGGGGGATCCGGTTCCAACCCCCCCTTCCTCCAAGCGACCACAGAACGCGCTCTTTCATATCCGGGACGATAGCATACCCCCAGGTTCTCCCATGGGGAGCGGTCGGGACCTCTGGGGGCGCGGACTGAAAAGCCACATCGGCGGATGTCAGGGGACGGAGGCGTCCACAACGCTAGACGAGAGAGAACGAGCTTCAGCATTTCAGTTTCAGAGGCAATGGGACAGCCCAGTCTCATCAAAGCGCACAACAGGCACTGAGCCAACAACTACACAGACTCTATACGTTCACTCTTCTCTAAGATAGTCGTCACAGCGCCGCGGAGAGGAGAAAGGCCGAGGACAGAGGGGCAGGAGCGGAGGGGAAGGAAGGGCCGGTCGAGAGAGAGCGTTTGGAGCAACGACTGCCATTTTGGGGGGAAACATCGACCTGGAATCAGCAATGCATCGCCGATTGATCGGCGATGGGCACACGATCGAGAATCCGCACGTTCCAAGGCAGGTTGGCGCTATCGGGCCCCTATTGGCAATCCATGGGCGATTGGGGGTCGACGCATCCTCCTTTTCCTCCCCCTCCCCCTCCTCCTCCTCTTCCTCCTCCTCCTCCTCCTCCTCCTTCTCCTCTTCCTCCTCCTCCTCCTCCTGCTCCTCCTCCCCCTCCTCCTCCTCCTGCTCCTCCTCCTGCTCGACCTCCGCCTCCGCCTCCTCCTCTGCCTCCTCCTTCTCCTCCTCCTCCTCCTCCTCCTGCTCCTTCCCTTCCTCCCCCTCCTCCTCCTGCTCCTCCACTCCCTCCTCCTCCTCCTCCTTCTCATCATCATCATCATCATCATCATCATCATCATCATCATCATCATCATCATCATCATCATCATCATCATCATCATCATCATCATCATCATCATCATCATCATCATCATATCATCACCATCATCATCCTCATCCCTACCACCTCCCTGTCGTTGCCCCTGAGAACGATGCCCGCCCAAGTGGACAGCGCGGTCCCAACTGGCGCAGGCCCAAGGCCTCCCGTCGACGCAGGCAAAAGTTCGAGGCGGCCGTCGTTCCAGCATGCCTGGGCCTCGGGCGGCCCGCTTCGGGCCCTGATGGCTGCCAGAGAGTGACCTGCTGGTCACGAGAAGCGTCCTGGCCCGAGGTGTCCACGGCGCACTTGGCAGCACCCTGACGACGACGGCAACGAACACGACTACGATGATGGCGGCGACGGCGACGGGCGACGGCGACGGCGGCGGCGGCGGCGGCGGCGACGGCGACGGCGACGGTGACGGCGACGTCGACGGCGACGGCGGCAGCGGCGGCGGCGACGGCCAAGACGACCGTGACGACGATGGCGGCAGCGACGGCGGCGGCGAGGGCGAGGGCGACCCCGGTCCAGCCCGCGGGGAAGGCGTCGGGAGGTCCACGGGCACCGCGTCTCAAGGAAGTCGGGCCGCAAGGCACAGACCTCCGACGTTGTGCTTGTCGTCGGACTGTGGGCCCCCTGAGGTTTGCAGCGTGCACAGCGCGACTGGATCATGAGGATGCGCGGACCGCGCATCCCCTCTAGAGATGCGGGGAGATGCGGGGATGCCTGACAGAAGTGGTCCAGTACTTGTGCAGTCCAAAACCCTGATTGCAGCCTAGTCGAAAGCGCGTAAAACGCCTGCAAGGGCGCTGGAAAGCATAGCTGGCGCTTGGAAGCTTGGAAGATGCCTGCGGGGTACGCATGCCAGGCCGACGAAAAACGTCCGCTGTCGCGGCGCTAGGTCTGGGAACTGTCTGGGGGCCGCCGCCGCATCTGCGGAGGGGGGGGGCAATCGCGATGATCGAAATAAAACCAAGCCCGAACACAACGGAAAAGAACATGCGTGCCAGCAATAACGGGAAAAGAACTGAATTCAGAAAACAATAACAACACCTTTCAGCAAGTTGTGTTTCAGGCGCGAGTTGTTTTGCTCTGAGCGAGCAATGCACGAAGGACCAATCCTCATAGGCAGCCGAATCGTCCAAGACGGACCTGGTCCGAGTACGGCCCTGTTGGCTGCACTCGCGGTGTGGTCTGGGCAAGCCCTGAATCACTGATCCAAGATAACAAACTGCTGCGCCAACAGAACACTGCACAACATTTACACATGAAAAATCCAGCCAGCCCTTTGGGTGACACGTGGTCTAAGGAGGGTCTCTTTCCTCTTCCACAACCCCTCTTCCTTTCGGGGAGGGAAACCCTCCCGCTCCCCTCCCTAAGGTTTTTTCGGTGGGGCCGCGAGGTGTCGGAGGCTTCATTTTCGGCCAGTGGAAGGGCCAATTTCTGCCACCCCTCATGAGGATCGGTGGGCCTACAGGCGAGCCAAGACGTTTCGCCACTGCTTGAACGTAAGCAATCGCGGCTTCCCAGCAGCACAGATCGTTCGACGTCGACCGATTCGCGCCCACTGGCGTCGCTCGGCCTTCCGCGCCCGCGCTGGAGCCACTGCCCCGCCGGCGCGACACAAGCCTGCTGTAGCACGGCTCCAGGGCCCAAGAAGGAGCCCCACGATCATTGAGACGAAGGGAGGGAGGAGGGGGAGGAGGAGGTGGAGGAGGATGTATTCGGATGAGGATGAATCGGGAATCCCTGAGAACGGGCGGGTCTGCAGGACATGTATATATATATATAGATATATATGTATTCATATTTGGCGGCGCGGCCTGTTCCAGAGCGCTCCGGAACGCGTTCCAGAGTGCTCTGGAACGTGGATGGCTCCGGGCGCCCTCTCCCCCACAGAAAACAAGGCGTCCAAACGCCTCGGTCCTCGAATCACCCTGTCGGGGAGACATACGACTCGACTCCAGTTGGCCTGACGGGGCCGTCAGGAAAATGACGAGACTGTACTCGTACAATCACAATTCAAGACGGGCCCGTCAAAAAAGCGTGAGCAAATCCGAGTTCCTGCGAACTCGAGTCTTGCGTTTCCCCGACTCTGACTTGCGGGCGACCAGGGGGGAGGCAAAGACGTCCAGATGCCTCGATCCTGACCATGGGTCGAGCTGGGATCGGCGCGGGGATTACGCAGGGGGTGGGTGGGTTATCAATGGATGCCCAGATGGCATGTCCGGCCTAACCAAGCTTCTTAGTGGGTTACACATGCCACAGCTTGCTTCGGGGATTCCACATGCCCTAAGCGGGCGAAGCTCACTTAGCCTGGATCGTTAACCCCCTGAGCCCTTTGAAGCATGTGTGGCCCACTTATGAGCTACGTTGGGCCGGACATCACTTATCCACTGATGACTCCCCTATTCCCGAGATCCGACGCAGCGAACAAACGTAATTACAGCATCGCGAAACGTCACGACCAGAGCCCTGGACCCCATCTGTGTGCGCCAAATTGCGAGCCCGATCGATCTGCGAGGTTGCTGGGCCCTAAACCGGACGAAAACGACTGGCTCGAAAAAAGGTCCGACACAATCACCCTCCTCGAAATCAAACTCAAGTTTTTTTGTGTTGGTCGACGCGCAAAAACGCGGCCCACGGGGTCACATTGACGCGCTTGCAGTCACCAATTTCGGCGCGACCGTTGCAGTGTTGGCGCCCTGGGGCGCCGACACGTCGCGGGAAAAACTTGCGCTTGAGTTCGAGGACGGTTTCGGGCCGGGCGAAAGGGGGAGATAGCAAAGGGGGGGTTTGAGAATCAGCTCACGTAGCTGGTTTTACCGGCGCCTCCCGGCGCCGGGAGGTGCCCATGTATCGAAGAATGGGCCCGGCGGCGGGGCCGAAACCAGCTGCATGCAGCAGATTTCGTAACCCCCCCTTTCCCAATCCCCCCCTTTCGCCCGACCCGATACAATATCTCAGGGATCCCCATCGCCACTCCGCGCCGATCCCATCGGGACCCAGGAATGGGGCCCCGACCGACGGCCCCGAGGGCGGCGCCGGGCGGCGGCGGCGGCCGCGGCGCGGGAGGCCACTCACACCCCGAGGGCCGAGGGGGCCTCTGGCGGCAGCGAGGGGCTCCGCTCGGTGGGCTCGCTGCTGGAGGAGCGGCTCCGGCAGCCGGACCCTCTGGGGCCGGACGCAGCCGGTCGCCGCCGACGCCGCCGCCGAGGCTCGCCGCCGCCGTCGAGGCCGAGGCTTCCGCCCTGGCCCTCCCCGGCATGCAGCATGCCTGGGAGGGCCGGGCGTGGAGGCACGAGAACATCGAGAGAAACTCTGGGGACTCCAGAGGTTTTCGTTGGCGCAGCGCGAGCACCATGCTGCAGGCATGACGGATGATGATCGCGCTGCGCAGCAAAAATCAGGCCGGGAGGCTTCTCGACGTTTTCGGCCTCGGGCCCTCACTGGGTGGGGGACCCGTCCAAACATGATTCGGGGTGGGAGACCGGCCCAGGGGAGAGGCTCAGGACTTCTGGGGGCCCCGTGCCGAAATAGAATCCAGACGTCACAAGTCTGGGCCCTGGAGGCCTCCAGAGACCTGTTCACAATCGTCGACGTCGTCCTCTGCCGAGGGTCTGGCCTCCCAGATGGAGGTCTTCAGATGTCGCTGGCCCTTTCCATCTCGTTTTTAGAGGGCCTCGGCAGACCTCTGCCGCCGTGGTGCTAGCGGTCGTCGTCGCGGTCGACGTCGTCGTCGCCGCCGTCGACCGAGGATCGATGGCAGAGGCTTCTGCACGATCTCTGTCACGCTTCTGGGCCTCGGGGGGGCGCCTTCGTGACCGCGGCTGGATCCGCCTCCTAAGCTCAAGTCGGGGAGCCGTCTTCTTCGGCGTCGTTCATGACGTCGTGGTCGTCGTCGTCGTGGAACGCCGAGGGCCGAGCTTCGAAGGCGGAGGTTTCAAGGTGTCGTGCATTCCTCTGGAGGCCGATGGGCCTCTCCAAGCGACCTTTTAGTCATCAGCATTATTGCCGTGGTCGCCGTGGTGGTGGTCGTGGTTATCCTGGTAGTCGGCGTCGGCGGCGCCGTCGTCGTCGATCTCGATCTCGTCGTCGGCGTCGTCGGCGTCTGCATCCTCGTCGTCGTCCTCGTCCTCGTGAAGGGGCAGATACACATCTTTCGCCTGAGGAACATGCAGGTAAGAGAAAGATCTTCGCTCTGCAGTCTCGAAAGACCTGAGCTCGGTCTGCCGCTCGAGCTATACTCGAACAAAACATATTACTCTGCAGCTCTGCTGCTTCGACAAGCGTGTTTGCTCTAACTCCCCCCCTCGTTCGCCGCCGAGAGATGAGCAGGGACCGACCGTCCCGGCATTCCTATAAGCCTACCACGCATGGTCTTATAACCGAAACATGTTATCATAACGAACGCCATGTTCTTAGAACATCAGCCTGATGTGCGAAAACAAACCAGTCCCAGCCAGAAGTGTGCTAAAAGCAATTTCGTGCAGACCACAACAGGCTCTTGAAACATTCTCTGGTGGGCCTACAGTGAGGGTGCGGCCGCAAGAAACCATCGCAAGAGATCCAACCCTGAAAACCCGCGCGCGAGGTGTGCCTGAGCGGAATCCAGGAGCGCCCTGAACGCAGCAGCTTCTTCAACGGCTGCGGGAAGTCACCGCGCAGCGGGCGGAGTGAAGAAACCCAGGATACCCTGACGAAACGCACATGGTTTCTCGATGCGCGCCCCCACTGTATAGGCGAACCAAGACGTTTCGCCGCGAACTTGAGACCACCGCGACGACCGACGGCGCCCGACGACGAGCCGGGCCACGGCGCCCGAGGGGCGAGCGCCTGCGCGCTCGCGCGCTCGGGGGGCGCCCGAGAGGGGGGGCGGCGCAGAGCATGTTTTGGCGGCGCGGTTTGGAGAGTTTTTTGTTGGATTTCGCGGTCGATGAAGCCGAGGCCTGTCGACAGTGGGCGGCGCTGCAACTAGCAGAGTATTTAGCAGGACTAAAAGACTGCACGGGCACCAAGTAGACAAGTACAGTACAGTGCGATGGGGCCCCCGCGACAGAGCGGACGGAACGCGTCGAACCGAAGCAAGGAGTCCAGGCCCTCCCAAACCTCCAGGCCCTCCAGAAAGGGGGTGGAGGGAGGGAGGAAGGCTTGTTAGAAGGATGCTGCTTCTTAGAAGGCGCAAGCCTCACATCGACAGACGAGGCCCGCGCTTTTTCCCTCGAGCGGGGGTGCTCCTAAGAGGCCTTCCCCCTCCCCCACATAGCCCCCCCTGCACGTGGCCGAGCATGGACCGAGGCACCTGCGCGAACGAGGGGCAGGAGAGCCCAGAGTCGAATCGACGAATCGGATCGGCAATCGAAATGGATCGGATCAGCAATCGGAATCCGGGCTCGGATCGAACCTGAATGGGAAATGGTCGAAATCGACGAGTCGGATCGGCAATTGAAACGGATCGGATCGGCAATCGGAATCCGAGATCGGATCGAATCTGAATGGGAGACGGTCGAACTCGAATCGAACGAAACGGAGGAGTCGAAATGAGCCCTGCCTGGGGGGGGGGGGGGGCAGGCGGCGCAGGAAGTCATGCGGCAAGTTCGCAAGATCGTGCTGCGTCGGCGCGCGCAAAGGTTTCTGAAACCGTGCCCATCGTTCGACCTTGAAGCGATGGCGGCCCCGATCGTTCCAGGTTGAATTCAGTCGGGTCCAATGGCGTTACCTTGTCCATCGGTGCTTCAACGTCGCAGAAAAAACTTGAACGCATGCGCTAGCGTCGCCCGCGCGCCAACGCCGCGTGAACCTCACGTACTAGCTAGAGTCGGCATCTATAACAAAGACGGGCGGTGAATTTGCAAGACCCTCGGATGACGAAGTCGGCACTTTTTGTGCGGCGGGCTGCCAACACCCTGAAAGGCTGGCCACTGAAAGCCGCGAACGACGGGCCTCAGAGGCAAGGGCGGCAAACGTACCCTGAAGACAGCCGTGCGTCGTTACTGTGAGTTTTGACTGTGCGATCGCATTGTGCGCCTCCCTTGGAGGCACGAGTCCGGACCGAGCACAATTACACAAACATATTGAAAAATATCTATACCCAAACGGTATGACCAAAAGGCGCCCACCACGGAGCATGCACCGCAAGATTTCTGAGCGCGCGCGTTGCAAATTGGGAGACGAGGCAAACATGAACCGCTTTTGTCAGAGTGAAGGGGCCGAACTGTCATGCACTGTCCCTGGATGCGTGTCTGAAGTAGGATTCCGCAATGCGGACTATTATTGTTGTCTTTAGTTTGTTTGTTCGTTCGTTCGTTCGCTCGTTCGCTCGCTCGCGAGCTCGTTCGTTCGCTCGTTCGTCGTTGTAGTTGTTGTTGAATACTAATCTCTACAACAAAAAAATACGAACCTCGGGAAACGGTTCTGCGCGCTCTCGCCTCGACGCCGGCTACATATTCTCTGAAAAAAACAGGCTCCCGCTCGAGCGTCGGCTTGAGCCACAAGGTGGGCCCTTGGAGGCCCAGCTACGACAACAACGGCTCCCGCTCGATACTTGCGCTCAAATTACCCCGAGACGCCCTGGCCAGAGAGGCCCCCGAACTCATGAACGGCTCGCTCGAGACTTCCTCGCAACTTTAAGTTGGCAGAGGCCCAGCCACGACGACAAGAGCTTCTGAACGATACTTCCTCACGATGTACTCCGAGAGCCCCTGGCGAAGAAGGCCCCCGAACTCAGGAACGGCGCTCTCGCTCGAGACTGTCCCGTAATTCCGGCAAATTGGTGGAGTCCTGGACACGGCGACAAGGGCTCCCGTTCGATATTTTCCCATTCGTATTCCGAAAGCCCCTGGCCAGAGAATGGGAGAATCTCGTTGTTCTCGTCTGCCGCTCTGTTCCCTGCCTTGCACGTGCCCTTCTGAAGGGGCCCGGCGCGGCGGATCTCGCATTCTCGGCAGCGAGGGCCAATCGCCTGCGACGCTGGATGTTTCGTCGTCAGCCGCCCCGGTGCTGTGACCATCGCCTGTAGCTGGGCTTCCGCCGGGCTCGTCTGCCACGTCCGATTCGGGCTCCTCGCTCACCTTGCTCGGGTCGTAGTCCAGGACATCGCCGTCAGGGTCCCTGAGTTCGTCTGTGGCGGCAGCAGGCTCGCTTCCCGAGCTGTTTCTGATCTCTCTCGTCGCTCTTCGTAGACCATCAGGTCGAGACAGTAGCTGCCCGCTCAAGTCAGTGCCAGGGTGGGCAAGAAAAAATTGCCTCCCGAAGGAGGCTTTCATGACGACGCTGATCAAGGGGTCCTGCCTCTTCTCCTCATCGCGCATTCGTTGGGGGCTGGGTTCGCACGCGGCCAAGATGTTTGCCTGGCATTATCAGCCAACGTGGCCATTCGCTCCTTGAGCTGCTGAAGAGACATGTTGTATGGCGCAGTGGTACGGCTTGGAACGATTGGTCGATACCTAATCCCGCGTTGGCGCATGCATTTGTCCAGCGTTCCCAAGCCAGCGTTGCCCAGACGCATCGCATGGTCGGGGGCGTCCTCGATGTCAAGTCTGGCCAGCCAGTGAGCAAGTTCGTCTGTGCTATGGACCCTCGGGTCTTTGCCCCCGTGGACGGTTTCGTTGACGTGTGCCGCCCGCACTTTCTAGCCGATCGCCCTTCACGACGAGGTGATGCACGACCAGTCCAACGGCCCATCTTTTACCATCCCATTCCGTGCCTGGCACCAATCCGTCGGTAGTGAGCCCCGATGGAGGAAACGCCCAGGCCAGCGTGGAGCAGGACAGAACGTCGAGCCAGTTGACGTCCAACCCTTTGCCTGGCACCTCGTACTGGTTCTCCAGCTCGTAGAAAATGTCGCTGGCAACGGAGTGGATACGTCTGAGGTGCAGGCACATTTGAAGTGGCGTGTGCCTCTGTGTGCTGCCGTTGTCGTCGGTCCACGCCTGGAAGAACAGGTCGAGCCCGGTGTTGGCCACGTCTGGCAGTTGCGGGATCCCAATGTACAGAAGCATGTTATTGATTGCGTCGGCTCGTTCTGGATTGGGTTCGGGTAGTGGCGACGTCTCAGATTGTGACCCGCGCCCGGCGTCGTCGTCGCCGCGCGGTACCTGCGCTCTTCCTTTGCCAAGTGCGAGGGCGAGGCCCCCCGCGCCCTCTTTTCTCTTCTTGGACGTCCGTGCTGTG